GATCTTTGCAAACTCAAAATGTTTCTAATCTCTTTACCCAGTTACTTTACTTATTAGATGGAAGCACTGTTGAATGAGTTTGCCTGGTTAGCTGAGTTTTCTAATCAAATAAGAGAAGCTAACTGCCCAGGTGTTAAAATCTTTTTTACTTGGGATAACATATTAGACAAAAACTTTATGAGCAAAAAAGCTGAACAACTACTTCACAAAAGAGGATAGCCAATAAACATATGAAAAAGGACAAAAGGAACTCTGGGAAGTGCAAATTAAAATCACAGTGTGTTGCAAGTATACATCCACCGGAATGGCTAAAATAAAAAAGACAGATAATACCAGTCATTTACAAGGATGTGGAACAGATGAAACTCTCATATAATGCTGGTTGGAGTGTGAATTTAGTACCAATTTTGAAGGAAGGCACTATCTACTAAGGCTGACTCAGCAATTCAACTCACAACACACACAACTGAAATTCCCACGTTTACCAAAAGATATATATAAGAAAGTTCACAGCCACAATGTTCATAATAGACAAAAATTGGAAAAAACCCACATGTCCATTAAGAATAAAATAGATAAACACGTTGTGGCATTCTCATAACGTGGCACACTCTAGAGCAATGAGAATAAACAAACTGTTGCTTCACACAAAACAAGGATGAATCTCACAAACATAATGGTGAGCAAAAGAAGTCAGACACAAGAATATGTACCATATGATCCACCGATAGTAAGTTCAATAATGAGTAAAAGTGACCTACAGTCTCATAAGTCAGGAGAGAGGCTATCTTTGGAGGAAAGTAATACTTAAAGGGGGGAGGAGAGGAGGCTTCTGGATGCTGGCAATGGTCTATGTCTTTGTCTGGGTGCTGGTTACATGGGTGTGTTCACTTAGGTAAATCACTGAGCTGTTTATCAAGGATTTCATGACATGTACGATTTTCTAAACACGTGTACTTCAATAAAAACAGAAATAGGAAAGATGGAGGGAGAGAAAGAGGGAGAAAAGAGAGCAGGAAGGAAGGGAGAGAGAAGGGGGTGTAATGAAGTGATGCTATCAGGGTCTCCACCTAAATAATCCTCATCCACTGTGTTTATTTCTTACTTCTGCTTATAGGACTTTGTCTACCTCTTCCTTTACTACCAAACTGTTCTTGGGCACTTTTCAAGGTTTTCCAGGTTTCCGCCAATATCAGCCCATTTCTACCTTCTAGTTTGTAATTTACTGTTTACTATGGGATTAGAAACCTTATAATCAATCATATTAGAATGGTACGTGTATTAGGAGTAAATAGACTAAGGGATGGACTATGAGTAACATGAATCCTCTTCAATGTATACTATTGAGAATGTACCTAATTTGTACCTAATTTGCAGGGAAGATGACATTTCATTGCATTCAAACACCTAACGAGAGACATAGTTTCACAATTGCTACTTCTACCACCATCTTTTTAAAATTTATTTATTTATTTTTATTATTATTTTTTTACATTCTAAGATGTCATTGCAGAGCTGTTGGGGGGAGGAAGAAGGGAACCGGGGAAGGAATTAGGGTGGGAGCAGGAGGAAGAGCGGGGCATGGCTGAGGCTCATGTACCCCCCTCATTCCTGCAGGGGAGACAAGGGGGCTTCCAGCAGTGGTTCGGTCATTGCTAGGCTGGATGCAGATGTCAGGGGGGTGTGGCTGAAGCTCTCAGCCCCCCACCTCCCCAGCTCGGGAACCACCATCTTTTGAATACATAACACAATTCAGAGGCAAGTAAGACGTTATCATTAAGGAATAAATTATGAACATCATGAAGAAGAGTGAAAGAAAAAGTTCTGTCTCTTCTGTGTCATGGCAGGTAAATAAAGCCATCACCATCCATACCCTCACTGTCCTTCTGATGCCTTGTTTGAAATGCCATTGTGCTGCTGAAACTAGAGAAATGTAATAAGAGTCATTGCCACAAAATCATCATGACAGTAGTAAATATGGCTTCAAGTAAAATAAAATCAGCCACCTCTACAAATACAGTAGTATCTGTGTGTGTGTATATATATGTATACATTAGACAGAAGAACTGAGTAAAAGGTAATTTTTTTCTTTCTCTACTGCTAGAAAAATAACTAAAGGGATGCACTATTGAGGATATAAAATATCTTTTTGTTATAAAGACAGTGGTATATTTTCCATTTTGTGACAGAAACATATCAAGTGTTTAAATACTGAGAGAAAGGCAAAATTTATTTGGAATACAACTTAGTCCTGACCTCATATGAAAGAACATTATTCTGCCCTTCTCCTAAAATTACTGCATTATGCCAAAATAGTAAGATCGAGTTTTGTAAAGTCTTACTAACTTCTTGGATGCTCCTTAACAATCCATTTTGCTAAGTGACTCCTTAAAAATACATAAATTGCATAAATCACAGGTTGTCCTTGGAAACAGCGTCAACTATGATATGTGTTCTGCTTATAGTTTCCTTTGTCCCGTCAAATCAGTGCCTTGATTCCTTCCATTTGGCAATCAAAAAAAACTACTTAAAAACATTGTCATTAGATTTTTCCTCTTAATTTGTTCTTTCCACTCCCAATCTTTTCCAGTCTCCTATTTCATCCATATTATTTGAAAATGAACACGAAAAACTCCAAGAAACAAGGAGGTGACGTGTCTCACCACAGTTAAGTATCAGTGAATTCTCTTGACTCTTCTCCCCTAGCAATAGGAGTCCTCGCGGACTGCAGCGCCCTCAGAGGCAGGCAGAGAAACCTGATTATCTACTTGATGAACCAGCTAACGTGTGTTTCTTTCCTTAAGTGTTGTGTTTTCCTTTAAGATGAAGTTATGGCCAGGCTCTCTCTCTTGTTGACAGAACAAGGATCAGAACCTCAAAATTGTACTCTCCAGAACTCAGAGAAAAATGAGATTACCACCAGGACTAGCTGGAATTTGTCCCAACAGTTGCCCAATTTCTATCCCATTTTCCTCTAAACACAATTGCCTGTATTCCTTTCACACAATATTTTTGTAAACCAAAATGTCTACTAATCATTTAAAAGACTTGAAATAATAACATTTAAAGTTATCTTATGTTGACAAAATGAACTAAAAGAGATACATCATTATAAACTGAGTCCATTCTGGAAATCTGATTGGCTAAGGTGCCTTATATATGTTTGTAAGTCTCCAGGAATGACCCCAAAACAACAAATGACACCAAAAACATCATTCTGAAGAACACTCAAAAATACAAAATGTCGGGGGTTTCTTAGTTTTCTGTTTTCTCAAACATGCCTGGAACTAACTAAATATCCCATCTTACCCCACCCCCACTCCTGTAAATGGCCTATTCCTCAACATCTCATAATAGTACTCCTTTCTTGTTTCTAGCTATATATGTGAGTTTTAGTGTCATCTTACTGAGACACGCTGGGATAAAATTAAAATAATTCAATTTCAAGATTTAACATAGAGACTAGAATCCTATCATTACTTTTAACTTTAAAATGAAAGTAAAAGTTTTTTCTGTTATGAAAGCTATTAGAAAAAAAAAACAGAATGCTTCCTTTAAATGAAGTTACACTAATAACTTCAATCTAAGTACTATAATGATCATGAAAATTATTTAAATGCTAATGTGACAGAGTTCTTAGAAATGTCTTCAAAAGACGTTACATTGGCTATAAGATGCTACTGAATACTATTCTAACTGCATTGAAGAATCTGTTCAAATCAGAGTGAAAAGATAAACCCTAATGAGCAATGTACACTTTAATTCATTTAATTCAGGTAATATTCCAAGTCCCAGATACAAAAACAAAGAGGGAAGGGAATACAGTACAATTCAGTGTCTCTTAGGAAAGGAACTGTTCCAGGATTTGAGACAATGTGCATTTAGTACAGCCCAGTGTTCATGATTTCCCATTAGGAGCAACTTTCTCCAGCACTGAAGTGAAATAGGAAAAGTGGGAAGGGTAAACCAAAGTGGTGACCGCTCTTCCTCTTCGGTGTGAAGAAAGAGCTTGCTGCAGGCAATTATGCTGAGAAGGCAGGACTTTGAAAAGGAGCGAGGGGTGGAAAAAACAGAAGTTTTACAAGGAACTGAAAAAATGCTCTACAACATAGAACAGTGGTAGAACTGCTTCTTCACCTTTCACGTCAAATTCAGGTTTTTTTCCTTTTGTTCTTTAAGAACTTTTTTCTTTGGGGTGCTTGCTGCAGTTTGCCGATTTAGTTCCCAACTCCTGCCTTCGTTTGGTGACTGTTATTAAAGGACTGGCAAAGGCTGAGTAAAATGCACTTAAGAAAAAGAAATCACCTCTCCTTGCCAAGATGCACATGCTGCCCAATACCTGAGAAAATCTCCGCCGTTGCTGGCCAAGAGAGAACCCAGTTTAACCTCTGCCTCCCCCTTCCAAACCCACTGCAAATAAATGTGCGTGTGCCACTTGCAGAGAATCTGCCTGACTCACCCCCTGCCTTCGGCGTGCCAGGGACAGATGTGAATTCTCGGTCCTGGAGCCGGCAGCGAAGTGGGAGTCACGGCCTCGGTGGCACCGAGAGTACCCCAAGCCTCCCCTACTGATGGGTCTGGGGATGTGTCCCCCTCAGGCAGGTGCTCCGCCGCACTGCGACCACCCAGGCTCACAGAAACACACGTGCCACTCCGCAGGAGCCCAGCGCGCCGCGTCCACTGGCCCCACAGTCCTGGCAACAGCACCCGGTTACGCACAGGGGGCTGTGCAGTGGAGGAGAAACAGGACCACCAAACTCCTCCTGCAAACGCTAAGAAGAAAAAAGTACTTTTCCGCAGAATCGGCCTCCACACGCCGCCGGCGCCCAGCCCAGGAGATGCCCGTCCCGCAACTGACCTCTCTCTCCCTCCCCGGAGTGCGCCGAGGCCGCCTTAGCGCCCTCAGGGACCTGCCCCCGGGCCCGCGCGCGCCGCCGCCAACGCCGTAAAGCTAGGGACCCGTCTGACCTTCCCTGCCGCGGCCCCGGCCGGACGCTCACCTCTTGGGGTCCGGCTTCCGTCGCTCCTCCAGTTTGGCGGCGGAGTGTGGGGCTGCAGCGGACGCTGCTGCCGCCGCCTTCGCTGCCACCGCGGCTGCGGCCGCCG